AAAAAATGAGTTTTTGTAGAATGGGCTCAAATAGGGGCTAAGCCTCTTTCCCAATAATGTAGTGGTTGTAAATGAATTTGCATTCTGTTTGGTCCATTTTTATTTCCACAACATTTATAATGAGAAAAAGGAAAATGCTATGAAATGACTAGAGCATTGTCATTGATTGTTCTCATCCTTCTTTTGTGAAGATTTAAAAGCTTTCATCATCATGATTTTCGCATTTACTTCTTGGCTTTGCTCATAGCAATTGATAGAATGGTGTGATAGATGCCAAGATGCACTGAATAACGGTATTATGCTTTCCAGATAGAATGGTACAATAGATGCATAGATGTGTTGAATCACGTTGAAAGGCTGTATCAAGGGAAAGACACAGCTGATATCATTCAGAGCAAAGTTCTGCAGGTATACATATATCTCTTTGCTTAATTTATAATGTTGTCAACGCACCCAGATTAGGCAAATACTGGTTTTCTGCTTTGATCACTGGATGCCTGCTAATGCATTGTCAACAATGTCAGATTCTGAACGTTCTTAACCTTTTTTTGGTGAAGTATTCTAATTTGGTAACTTTTTCTCTTAGTTTTTAAATGGGAAAAATGAAGATTTGAAGCTCTTTCTGGAGAAAGATTTGAAGTCTGGCGACTTTAGTGGTTTTCATGCCGAATGTCTTACGGATACGTGGATTGGAAAGAATAGGTTTAGTATCTTGCCTTAATAAAATATTCCCAAACATAATAAATCTGTCTCTCTATTTCTCTGCTGTTGGTTAGATTTTGACTTTAATCATTGACACCATTTATCCCAGGTGGGCATTTATCGACTTGACTGCTGGGCCTTTTTCATGGGGACCTGCAGTGGGTGGAGAAGGTGTACGCACAGAACTGAGTCTACCAAATGTGGAGAAAACAATAGGTGCAGTTGCAGGTATTGGATAGTTGAGGAAACTTTTGTTTGATGTGGTGGAATGAGCCAGGTTGTTTTCATGTTATGATAGAGATTTGACAACCTGCAATAGTTCTGCTACTTTCCACGAGTCCATGCATTTCATATGAATATTTATTAGATGTGTGGCTCCACCACCATGTTTTGATGTTTTCAACAGGTCTGCTATAATATCTTGTATAATGGTGGCTTTTTAAACAGGCTGAGGAAAATATGTGCTATTTACTAGTTTTTCAGCCTTGCATAAATATTAAAAATAAAATATTGTCGAAATGTGCAAGTTGGTTTATCTATTTACTACTTATTGATGACGAATCCCTTGCCTGCTCTGCAATACTGTTTATCTTTAAAAATCTCACTGTCCACTGGTTCTCTGATTATATATCCAGAAATTTCAGAAGATGAAGCTGAAGATCGCCTGCAAGAGGCTATTCAGGAGAAGTTTGCAGTGTTCAGTGATGTATGTTTGCATATAATTTTTTTCTTGCATTGATGTATACTTTAGCAAAGTAAAATTTTATTATATGGTTGAGAGTGATAAATGAAGTGAAAGGAAATATTTTTGCTTATGTATTGTGTGTGAAGATATTCTTTGGCTTTATTTTTCCTACTAGATTCAAGGCAGTTTAATCCAGTCTTGCATATTTAGATGGTTGTTTTTGTGCTGCACTTTGATGGCAATGTATTTTCTCATATGCCGTTTTGATTGGTTAGGAGAGCTTTATTGTAATCAATTTAGAATCTGAGGTATTGCTTTTGGAACATTCATACAATTACAAGATTGTATAATTGGGTATCCATACTTGTCAAACTTTATGTTAATCCTGTTTATTGAAACTTGAAATTTTGTAGTTTTTAAATTTTGGAATCGTATGGTCTGTGTCTCTGTTTCTTCAAGAGTGACTTTCTAGTTAAAAATATGGTATTTTTCTCCAACCTCTAAAAGTTAACATGTATGTCCCATTTACAATATTATACATGAACCTGCGTTCACTCTTGCAAAAAGGCCATGGAATTTATCTGCTGCCACCATGAAGGATCGTGTTATGTTGTTATTTGGTCATACCGTTTTTGTTGACCTGAGGATGTACACCTGCTTGTGATAGATTTTCACTAGCTTGTTGGACAGTGGCTTTCGAGGAAATCAATGATGATTAGTGTGTTTTAGTCTTGTTGTTCAATATAGTTGCAGATGCATAAAACTGGAGCTGGAGAATTATAACATTTCTGGCTCATCATAATAATTAACTGTCTCCCGTCCCCATTCTTGTTTGGTGTGCTTGTCTAAGCAGAATGCAACTCATCAATTGTGTCAACTGTCAACTATGGGGTGATTTTGAATTGGAGAGTTAATCTCGAAGCTTCACTAGTTCTGATTTTCGTCTTCTGGATTTAAATTGGTAAATGAAATAAAAGTTAAAAATGATCCTAATCCAAAAACTTCAAAACCAAATATAACTAGCATATGTGGAGAAATGTGCTGCTATGAACATCCTTTTGGCATTTTCTTCTTGGTTTTTGAAGAATGAAAGTCTGATCTTTTTATTTTTTCATTATCATGAGAGTTGAACAACATTATTCTGCTAAAAATTGTTTTCTACGTGTTTTCCAGTAGATAGGCTAACAACTATTCCGGTCTTGTCCTGTATGGAATGAACAGTGGTAGGAGGGAGGCAGAAATGGGCTATCCCCTTTTCAAACTCTTTTCCAGAACCACTTCCAATTGCCTTTAAAGAGGAAATCCAGTTCAATTTCTAAAAAACTTGGAATACTGTGAAGGGACCAAAACCCAAATGTAGAAGAAATCTGCATAATTTCTTGATTTACTAAGCAGAAATAACTTTGATATACTTTAACTATTTATAATTGTTATGGTTACTGTGACAATTTATGGAACTTTCCTGGTTAATTGAATATCGTGGTCGGTGCTGAACAAAGCACTGAGTCAATGTCTCTGAGTGCATGTTGGGTTTTTAGATGTTATCCTTACATTCTCTATTATTTACTGTTTGACACTGAGCATGTTTTTGTATATTACAGAAAGATCATCACGCAGTTGATATCCTTCTAGCAGAAATCGATATATATGAGCTTTTTGCTTTCAAACACTGTAAGGGAAGAAAGGTCAAGCTCGCTCTTTGTGAAGGTACATTGTTTCTGTGTAACAGATTGCTTCTTTGTTTTTAGGGTTGGTGATTTTGGGTACTTATTTAAGCCCCTACCGTGAAGCTATTTGGCATTTAAAAACTCATCTGACTGAACTAAGGCGACCAGCCGTAACAAGGATAGAGATGCTTGTTTCTTGCTAGAAGCTTTTTTCCGCCTATTTGAAGATAGACCTTTCTGTTAGTTATCTGGTTTAGTCCTGTTTATTTATATAAGACCTGTACAAGATTAATATACTTTCTGTTATGTATGGGATTATGGACTTGTTCTACCACATACAAAATTTTTTGTTGTATTTTAAGCTGTCCTTGGCGTTCTCATGCAAATCCTTGTAAATTTTAATATAGAGCTTGATGAGCGCATGCAAGATTTGAAATCTGAGCTGCAGTCGTTTGAGGGGGAGGAATATGATGAAAGTCATAAGAGAAAAGCCGTAGATGCATTGAAACGCATGGAGAATTGGAATTTGTTCACTGATACTTATGAGGTTTGCCGTGGCATTTGTTCTATATCCGCCACTTCTAAAGATTTTTATTTATTTTTTCTGAAAACTGAGGTCCTCTTGTTGAGCTATATGACTGATATATCTTCATGTCTTGAAAATGAATTATAAGTATGACAAACTTGTGGCGATGCAGGACTTCCAAAATTACACGGTTGCACGTGATACATTCCTTTCACATTTAGGGGGAACATTGTGGGGTTCACTGAGACACATAGTATCTCCTTCCCTTGCTGATGGGGCATTTCACTATTATGAGAAAATATCATTCCAGTTGTTTTTCATCACAGAAGAGGTAAAAATTATAAGCTCTCATTAAGTAACATGGAAATATTGGAAGGAAGTTTATTTGAAACATATCTTCACTCTTAATTTGTTCATGCAGAAAGTTAGACATGTTAAACAGTTACCTCTTGATCTGAAAAGTCTCATGGATGGGCTTTCCTCCCTGGTGTTACCTTCTCAGAAAGTGATGTTCAGTCCACACCTGTATGTGTTTTGTAATTAATTTTCCTTCAATAATTTCAAATAATTTATCATATGTCTGAGTTTCCATTGAACTTCACAGATCATTAGTGTTTGTGTATATGCTTTATGAACCAAGAAGATGCCATCTTTATTGTTAACCATGACATCTAATGCTTAAGCTCGTAGAGCTTGGCCACATTCATTTGAATCCTGTCTTCACATCAATCTTTTCCTGTCTTTCTTCTTATTAAATGTCTTTTATCTGGAGGGCTAAACCGATTTACCTGGTGTTAGTACCAACTGTGGACTTGTTTATTGGTATGTTTTATATAGGTTGCCACTATCAGAGGATCCTGCTTTGGCAATGGCTTTTTCAGTGGCTCGTAGAGCAGCTGCTGTTCCGTTATTGCTTGTGAATGGCACGTATAGAAAAACTGTACGATCTTATCTTGATTCTTCCATTCTTCAGCATCAGCTGCGGAGGTTGAATGATCATGCCTCTTTGAAAGGTTTAGTACCTAGACCTCTTTGCTCTTTCTTTTTTCCTTTCTTTTTTCTGAAACTAATTATTTGCATATAGAAAATGTGTATTGCCTCACGCTAACGGGTGACTACTTTGTCCAGTTCCTTTCCTTACCTTCTCCATCCAATATGAGAGAATGGAGAAACAAAATTGATACTTCTATGAGATAGACATGGTTATCTCATTATTGTGAATGGCTTGTTGTAAAGCATTCATATTCAGTTTATCTCATGAACTTGAACCCTGCAGTTGCTGGCATATTGTGCTTTTTGCCACTAGTGGAGACAGTACTCTATGATGTTAATTAACTTTTCAAATGTCAATGTCTTGAAGTTCATACAGATTCTCCTCACAAGTTGGCGGATATGAGTGGATGATGAATTAATTTGTGGGTGTTGATCCTGATCTTGCTTAGAATGATTAGCATTAACCAGGAGTAGAAATTTTTGTGTCACGGCGTTAATAATGCGCATGACTACTTAATCATGGGGGAAGCATTATGTATATTTAGCTAAAGTAATGGACTTGTGCTCAAGGAAATTTGTGGCCTGTAAAGAACCTGATTGCGTAACTTGAATTCTCTTATGAACAAACACACTAGTGATGTATGGGAGTTTAACTTGCATATATTAAGGGAACTGAATTTGGCATCAAGATTGTTCAATTTAGCACATCAGAAGTTAATAAATAGCGTTCAAGGCTTAGAAGCTAATGTTCTGCTAGCTATATTAATATGTTTTCTTTCATGATGTAGGATCACATGCACATAGCAGGTCTACGCTGGAAATTCCTATTTTCTGGTTCATTCATGGCGATGCACTGTTAGTTGACAAGCATTATCAGGCAAAGGCACTTTCTGATATGGTTATTGTTGTTCAGTCAGAGCCATCATCCTTGGAGAGTCATCTACAATGCAATGGGCGGTCGCTTCTCTGGGACCTGAGGTTTACTTATCATGTCATTCATGACTAGATTTAGTAGTGTTGAGGACAGTAGCAACATGTTCTCTAGTTTTTGTTAGTGTAATTTTTAAATTTAGGTCAATATTTATAGGAAATTTGCAGCTGCCTTGCTGGAACTTGTAGTTTCAGGTCTCATGCAAAAAATTATAAATGGAAATTGGGATGTCCTATTCCTAAATTTTTGATATATTAAGTTGAAGAAATAGGCTTAGAAAGGGAAGGGAAAGGGGAAGAGACATATTTGTGGAATCCTTAGTCGCATGTGAAGAATTTAACATCAGACACCACCTTTTGCATGGCCTATTCCAAAGTCCTTTCAAATGTTACTTTCACTTGGGTCCAGCATAACTATTGCATTTCTCTGTTTAAATCAAGTATTGCATTAGTATTTTCTTTTGAGTCAATGAGCTGCCTACCCATGATGAACTGCTGGCTCTGGTCTATGATTTTGTGCCTAATGTGTGTTCTATATATCCTGTAATGTGACGAAATCAACTGTAGTATTTGAGTTAACCTGTAGTGAATGGAGAAGGTGACTGTCAAACAAATATTTTTACCTTATTTCTGGAGCTTTTTTTCTGAACGAAATATCATTCAACTGAAGATAATGGGCACATATGCGTATGTTTTGGAAACACTAAGTTTCTAGTCAAAGTCACTTCAATTTATCCACACATTATCTACACATTTTGTGGACCCACTACTCTCATTATAAGGAGATTATAATGAAACCCAAACATTCATAGTTGTCATAAGTTTGACATCCTTTGAGGATGTTTAACCAACAAATTCCATGGAATTTGGTTGGAATAATAGTACTTCATTTTGAATGGCCCGTATTTCTTGGACTTGTTAGAGAAAACATTTGCAGCTTCTATGGAACTTGTAATAAATCATAAAGGTTGATTTGTTCTTTCTTATAACAGGAGGCCTATAAAAGCTGCACTTGCTGCTGTTTCTGAACATCTAGCTGGGTTGCTTCCTCTTCATCTAGTGTACAGTCAAGCACATGAAACTGCCATTGAGGTTGTAACTTGTACACTGCACTTAAACATATGAAGCGTGATATTCCTAACATATTGATATATACTACTGTTAAAAAAAGGAAGAGGACAAGGAAAAGAAGTTGGTTAGATCTGAACTTTGAAATTGTTTTGAAAAGATTATTTTGTGGGAATACTTGTTTATGTAGTTTCAGAGGCATGCTTCAGTTTGATTTTATAATAATGATGTTAATTTTACCAACTTCCAAATGTCTTTTCTAAGACAACATTATGTTGTATGATTTTCCCTGAAAAATTGCTTTTACTAGAATAGGATTTTCATTTGTCTCTTGTTTTTGTTTCCGTTAATTAAAAAAGAGATAAGACTTCGCTACGTGCTGTCTATTGTTGAGATCTATTCCTAGTATATTGGATAAAATGAGGCCATTAACTGCGAGGTCCTCACCGGACTCATTTTGCTGTGCATTTATATCTTAACACTTCATAGCTTGCTCTTTGAAGAGGGAAATGCAGAATTACCTGAATCCAATATCAAGGAGACTATTTAGCATTTCGTCTTGTAACTGCACGTATTTGTATAGTGTACATATATTATACGATCTCTTCTAACTGGGAATTAGGGGTGGAATGTATGTCGACTTTGTTCATACTAACTTGATTCGTACTTGTTTTTTGATGTGCTACAGGACTGGATATGGTCAGTAGGTTGCCACCCGCTGTCTATCACTTCTCAAGGGTGGCATAAGTCTCAATTCCAGTCTGATACCATTGCTCGGAGCTATATACTCACAACTCTTGAGGAATCAATACAACTTGTTAATTCAGCTATTCATCTTCTTGTTATGGAGCGTACATGTATCCTTCTGTTGCAGTAATATGGTCTATTATAAACTCAAAATCATTTAACAGAGAAAAGTTATTTGTTAAATTTTATTTGAGAAAACTTATAATCAGCGAAAGATTTTCCCATATTTCCTCTTTATATTATACACGAGGATACTTGAAACTGAATTTATGCAGTGACTGAATGCATTGTGCAAGAACTGGACGCAGAGGGCTTCACACTACAGAGATGAAAATTCCATTGGTGCAGTTGGTTAGGTTTTGCTGTGTTATCATTGCCACAATCAAGAGCACCTGCCGTTTCTGACTATACCCTGAATAGTTAATACTGACATATTGGAAGGATTGCATGGTGACTTCTGCCCCTGTCGAAATGTTATATAGCCTATGTTTGGCCCCCATTTTTCCAAAAAACTCATTTCAACCACACATTCTCCCATAAATTAATTTCACTTGAATCCAAAACTTCTCCTTATGTTTTAACCACACATTCTTGAACAAAACAGTGTTCCAAAATGCATTTTGGGCAAAAAAATGGGCTCAAACAAGGGTATGATGTTTTTATTCTGAACAAATTTGGGAGTAGTTCAATTTTTATTAGGTCATGCTTCTGGATTTTCACCAGTTTCCTTAATAAATTAAAGACATTCTCAATTTGTTGGGTGGATTTGGATTCAGAATTAGATTCACACAATTCTTTTTTTTTTTTTTTTGGATTTTATGTTGAGTTCCTTTTCACTGTTGAAACTTAATGAGAATTAGCGGAACAAACTTTCAAGCTCTTTCAATCCCAGGAGCGTGATTTGCTGAACAAATATAACTATGTTGTTAGTCTGTGGAGAAGAGTAAGTTCTGTTTAAATGCATTATCTCATATATTGGCCAGCACTTCTTTTCTTCACTCGTCTGTTGTACTGTTTTTATCCTTGTAACTTTATTTTAAAATATAATTTGGGTCTTCTTACAGATTTCAACTGTTACTGGGGAACTACGTTATACTGATGCCTTGAAACTGCTGTACACTCTAGAGGATGCATCCAAAGGGTTAGCAACTCAAAGTTAACTTTTTAGTTTATCGACCAATGACTTTTGGCAAGGTTTAGAAATAGGTCCCTGTAAATAACGCATCTTATTTTTTAATTTAGTTTAATTTTTTCGGGGCACGGCAGATATAATCCCGAGTTAATATGCTTAAGTTTCATGTTTTCTGTTGCTGACCTCTTTTCCAGTGTGTCTATTTCTTCTCACTGACTTTTGTTTTGTTTTTGTTTTTTTTTTGCCCTTTTTGTGTGTGTCTCGCAGATTTGCAGACTATGTAAATTTAACTTTATCCAGTCTCCGTCCAATTCACTGCACTAGACGGAGGAAAGTCGAGGTTGAGTTTGATATGACCACAATTCCTGCCTTTTTGGTGGTTGTACTTGTACTCTGGTTTGTATTAAAGCCAAGAAGACCAAAGCCGAAGATCAACTGATTGTTTTTGTTTGGGATGCTAATATTGCAAGACACCTTAGTGCAAATTTCCCTTCGGCACCCTACGAGAAGAGCATACAACTTTCTTTATGTTCTAGTTATGTACTTCAAAGGAAGCTAATGTTATCTTCAGTTACGTGGGATCATAGGCGATTTAGATCGAAGATAGTAGTCGGAATGTTGAGGCCAGAACAATGTGAATCTCTAGTCTTTAATTCCATTTTCCCAATTGGTGTAACAACATTTTCTAGATTTTGCCATGTATCTTGAACAGGTAAAGATTTGTATTTTTATCTGAAATTCTCAACATACAGGAAGCCGCATCTCTTTCATTTATGCTGGCTTTCATGCATATTTTTTTTTATGAAAATGGATGAAACTATTAAGTGCTTAACTTCTTATTTCTTTATTTATAAGCTTATCCCTACAATATTATCTTTCCATGGACCAACAGTGTAGCACTTACACCCTATTTGAGCCCCATTAATTTCTTGTAACGTATTATGGAATAGTAAATTGATGGGAAAAGTATGGTTAAACAAAAAAGGAAATTTTTTTGATTTGCGTATAATATTATTTTAATGAAGAATGTGGGGTTGAAAATGAGTATTGTAAAAAAAAATAATGGAAAAAAATGGGATAAAATGGGCTCAAACATGGGCCCATGCGCGAAGGGAAATCGGACAACCTTGGCCACACCCCATGGGTTGACACTTCACCTAAATAGTGTTGATGTTGCGTTTATTATGTATTTTAGAATTATTTTGTTCATTAAATAATGGGTTCGTTCTAGGAGACTGGAGACGAGATCTGTTGTCCTCTCAGCACATAGCAAATGGAGAGACGTCATGATGTTAATGTAGCATATTCCCATTTGCTAACAATAGCTAAAGTTGTCAAGGTGTCAAAACATAAGTGAGAGATAGTCGAGGGGGTAGCCAAATGGGAACAACATATTCAACTCTTTAATCCTATGGAGTAAAGAGAAGTCAAATTCTTGGTGGTGGAGGGACATTATAGAAATGGAGAATATTGGTTTACAAATAATTAATTCAAGATGCATACCCTTTATAATACTGAGGGAGTACAAACTTATAGTCAATGAATATTTATCTAATTATTTATTTACAGCAACAGTATCAGTTAGCTCTCTTCCCTTAGTTTCAAATGGGAGGAACAGAACACTAATACCTGAGAGAATTATTACAGCCTCAAATAAAATTATTGCAGCCATTTGATGACAACCAGACATCAAATCTACGGCTACGAGTGGACAAATCATGCCAGCAATTCGTCCCACTGCGCTGGCAACTCCGACTCCTGTTGTCCTCACCGATGTCGGATATATCTGCAGAGGATATACAAGCCTTGAGAAAGAGATAAAAATGTAAAATCCCAGTGTCCTCTTGTTAGTTCTTATGCCGCATTGATAACATTATCATCAGTTTAGATCTACCCAAGCCATGCCTTCAAACCTCTTAAGTCACTGTTCTTTTAGTTTATTCGCAATAGGTGCCACCTCCATTGTTAGGCACATATTCTCATCTTATCCATTCCAGTACGATCCACATTTTGGAAGTTTTTTCTACATGGAAACCAAATACAGCGCAGGAAGGTGGGGAAAGGAATCTGAGTCAGAAAATGGTTAATCAGGATTGGACTATCCAACCTTTCATGTGGTCTAGTTATAGGTCCCCAGTCTTCAAAAGTGAGATTCTGGGTCTCCATTATATTTAAATTTGTAAATCTAGGTCCCATGCGATCAAAACTATCAACATAAACGTTAAAATTTCTTGCGAATTTCACATTATTAAAGCTTGAGGAATGAACCATCAAACCACTTTTAACAGTGCGATTTTATATTAACTTCTATATTGACGATTTCGATCACGTAAGATCCAGATTCATAGATTTAAATAAGTTGGGGACCCGTAATCACGTCACATAAAAGGTTGGAAAGCCTAGCCCTAATTTTCACAAAAGTAAAAGAATATTTCTCCACGTCACTGGATTCTTTTAATATGTGAGAGAGTATGCGGTTCATAGACAACTTTTCATTTCGACTTCATAGATTTAAATAGGTTGGGGGCCCGTAATCACATCACATAAAAGGTTGGAAAGCCTAGCCCTAATTTTCACAAAAGTAAAAGAATATTCCTCCACGTCACTGGATTCTTTTAATAGGTGAGAGAGTGTGCAGTTCATAGACAACTTTTCATTTCGACTCTCCAAGTCTTAGAAAGCAAAAGAAAAGGATAAATGAAAATAAAAATTTTCTGCAGCATACAAGAAGAAAGAATCAAAGCTATAAAAGCAGGGATGATAAATGACTTACCTCAGGACAGTAAACACCTGCAACTGTGAAGTTCCCAATGATGAACATACGAGCTCCAAATAATAGAGCCGTCGTCCAAATTTTGTAATGATGGAACATCAGAGGTAAAAGGAACATGAAGCCACACAAATACGTAATTAACATTGAAATTTTGCGACCAACTTTGTCCACAAGAAATGCTGATAAAATGAGACCAGGAAGCTCTGTAAACAGGTAAACAAGTCAACTCGGAGATGCAAGTAAATGCGGAAAGAAGAAAGAACAAGATCATGTGCCAAAGAGAGATGATCAATAAAGTTAAGCTAAGGTTTGTGAAGTATTTATGAATGGTTTAAATGACAAATAGATACAAATGATTAGTAGTACTTGTTGGTTTCACGATGTATAAAAAGTGATTTGACTGATTATAAATAGTTTATAAAGATTAGCCAAACATGGGCATAGATTACCTGCTAAACTGGTGACAAATGCATCTATATAGAGGCTAGAATCCTTCAATATGTGTGAATTTAGAATAGCTGAGCTGCATTTGATTTCCCCACTGCTGAACTCCGATGTCAGCAATACGACACCATAATATGAAAATGAATTTCCAAAGTAGATCATCCACAAGAGAAGGGTGGTTTTCACTAAGCTCGGAGAAAACAGCATGAGTAAGGACGAGAAACCTGGTTTAGATATGGCATTCTTGTTTCTTCCTGTGGATAGTAACTGGGTTTCTTCCGAACTTGTCATTTCTTCATTCTCAATCACTTTATCAGAAACAAGCAAACCAGAAGGAAGTTCTCTTCCATTAATTTCTGCCATTTTCTTCAAAACATTATATGCCTCATTGATCATACCATTCATATATAGATACCTGGGAGACTCTATTGTGAGAAAATAAAAGATAAGTGCAGCAAAACAGGGTACTGATGATAGTGCAAGCAACCATCTCCATCCCAATCTTGGCATTACGGTCTGCATAGATAGCATTTGAAAATCCAAAATATTACATCATTTTTCTGTTCTTAAACAGCATTACAATACATGGATATTGAAAAAGATGGATTTAAAAAACTGCCATATAGACATTTATCATACTTAAAAATGCCAAGTGAGGATAAGCAAGTATGCAAAAGCCACTTCGTTATGTTGAAGACAACATTTAATCGATATACATGTGGTCTTCTCTACCAAATTAAGCTTTCAGATTGAGTAACGCTACATGGTATCAGAGCATGCAAAAATTGTGATTCAAAAATACTGCCATCCGTTTAAATGAATTGTGCATGGGTTAGTTATCGATTGGAAAAATGAACCCTGCTGATACATGAGGAGACGTGTCGAAAACAATTTCTAAATGATACATATGGCCCTATCTAACTACTTAAGCTTTAAGATCTAGTACTTCAACATGTTGAATATATTAGACATAAGAAATCATCACCATTTTCAACAAGTAGAAGGCTAGTGAAGGAGACAGGTAACAAAAAAATTGATGTACAGAAAATGAGAAATAAACAGAACAAAGTTATAAATACTTTTCGTCACATTGAGAAACTGCAAAGGATTGATGCCAATGAATGAGTGTATGACAAAGATTGCTATTCCTTCTATGTCAAGTTAAATACTCAATTGAATATGTTTAGGGTACTGAACTTTGTTTGGGATGTTTATATCAATTCTATTAAACTCAAGATTAAGTATCAACATAATATCAAAATTCAAATAAATCAACCATTTCCATTCAATTCAATGAGACATGAAGCTCCAAAAGATTCTCCTTTTGAATAAAAAGTCATCCCATAATTCATATGGAGACCCGGGGAAAGATTCTTGTCTTTTTATATCAGGACCATAGTGACTAACTTGTGAAGCTATCGTACAATTGGGAGAAGTCGAATGAAATCATCTTATTGATTGTAATAAGATAATGTTATATAATCCAAGAAGCAAAGACATACCCAAGCTAATGCGGCCTCGAGTATTGCTCCAATTGTCCAAAATGTAGAAAATACAACCATCCAAATGCCCCTGTTTTGCACGGGAACAAACTCCAGAAACCAAGCCGAGTACAGAGGTCCACCACCGAGACCAATTCCAGCTACCGTACGGCACACAACCAATGATATATAATTTGGTGCAAAGGCACTAAGAAGTGCAAATATGCTAGTTACTGCTGCTACACTCAAAAGACCAATCCTGAAATACAGACAATATTACTTAAATCTTTCGAATAAATATGAAATGGTGTAAATGCAGAGCAAACATATTTAGACATCAGTATACAGGAATGTGCAATAAAACTGAAAAGAAAAGAAATAGTTGTTTCATTGTCAAAGTTGGAGAAATGCATTCTGATATGAATTATGACGGCACACAACCAATGATATATAATTTGGTGCAAAGGCACTAAGAAGTGCAAATATGCTAGTTACTGCTGCTACACTCAAAAGACCAATCCTGAAATACAGACAATATTACTTAAATCTTTCGAATAAATATGAAATGGTGTAAATGCAGAGCAAACATATTTAGACATCAGTATACAGGAATGTGCAATAAAACTGAAAAGAAAAGAAATAGTGTTTCATTGTCAAAGTTGGAGAAATGCATTCTGATATGAATTATGATTGTCAAATGAAAAAATCAGAAAGCCCCAAAAAAGACTAGAGTTGAATCCTAGGATATGCAAGCATAAGAAATAATCATCTAAGCAACCCCAACTAAACACTAATCCATAATTATGTGTAAATTTACTTTTCTCGTAACAAACTATAATATACAAATATGGGAACTAGATACATAGGCTTGCCTTCTTCCGTAGTTATCAGAAATGATCCCCCAAGAATAAGCTCCGATAAGCATTCCGGCAAAAACCACGGTGGTTATCAGGCTTTCTTGGCCAGATGAAAGCCCCCATTCGGATTTCACCGATGGTCCAATAAAAGAGAGTATCATCACCTCCATTGCCTCCGCCATCGACCCAAGTCCCGCGTACACAAGCACTAGAACTTGAAATTTCCCAAAACCCACCTCTGCAAGTGCTTCATCCAGTGTATACTCATGACCATTTT